GGGTCCCCGGAGCTGGGCCGACGCCGGCCGAGGAACGGAGACCGGAGGATCGACCCCCGTCTCCGTCAGTGGGTGGGACTCTTGGGCTTCCTCGGAGGCCATCCAGAGGGTCTCTCTCTCGTGCCGGATCGGTTGTGGCCCAGCCGGGCTCGGACAGGACCGGGTTGCCAAGTATTTCTGAGCTGGCTCCCTCAGACAGAGGGGAGTCGGCAACGCCGTCTCTCAGTCAGCAGTTGTCTCGAGGAGTCAGCTCAGGATCCGCAGAGGTCGAGCCAGGGGATCAGGAGAATCCAGGACTCCTCCCTCCTCCGTCTCCTCCTCCTCCTGCTTCCTTGCCCGCTCCTGTTCCTCCCCCCTTGCCTGCGTCTCCCAGTTCTCTTTCCCCTGTCATTCCGTCTCCACCAGAGGGGGCGAGGCCTAAGACAAGAGGGCGCCTCACACAGCCGGGGGATGTCCCAGCCTGCATTCGAGCTGCGAGGGCCGGGGGCGCGCCTCCCGAGATAAAGAGGGCCAGGACCGACCCTTCCTCGGGCTCCTCCCCTCCTTACCCCGTCGGTGGGGCTGCCTCCTCCTCCTCCGGTGTCGGGGGTCCTGGACCTGGCCTGGAGACCCGGGGGCCTGTCAGGACCGGCGATGAGCCGAGGCAGTCCGTTCAGGAGCGTGTTCAGGCCATCGAAGCCCGAGTCAGGTCTCGGTCGCCCAATCGCAACAGGGGAGCCGAGGGAATGATCGAGGCAGAAGCCGCCAGCGAGTTCTTCGTGGTCCCGGGACCGATTGACGGGCTCTCCGTTGTTCCCGGGGATGCCGAGGGGTTTGTTGGGGCCGTGTGCGAAAGCACCCAGGGCGGGGGCACCTTTGCGGCTAGCCGCGGGGGAGAAGTAACCCTCAAGAGGCTCACCCCTCAGGAGCGTCAGAAGTTCCAGGCTTCAGATAGCAAAGAATGGAAGGCCATGCTGCAATCCGGGGGGGTCCGAGTCATCCCTCCGAGCCAGGCGGCGAAGATCCGGCAACGTTGTCCGGACAGGATTATATCCAGCCGAAGGGTGCGCCGATGGAAGCCAGTTGAAGGGACTTTCGTAGAACCTAAGGCGAAGTCCAGGTGGTGTGTACATGGTCATGAGGACCCCGACTCTGGCTCCCTCGCAGTATACGCACCCACTCCCCAGACCTCATCCATTATGATGTTCATTCAGGTACTGGTCAATTTCCGGATGCTCGGTGACATTGCGGACGTTAAGAACGCTTTCACCCAGTCAGATCCAATGGCGAGGTCCCAGGGCCAGATCTACGTTGAACCCTGCGAGGGTATCGACGTCGAGCCTGGATCCCTTATCTTTTTGCTGGTGAACGTTTACGGGCTGGATGATGCTCCAGTAGCCTGGCGTCGGACTGTGGTTGGCCATCTGGAAAAGCATGGGTTCGAAAGGAGTTTGCTGGAGCCCTGCTGGTGGTAGAAGTATCGAGCAGATGGGGCCATCCAGAACATGATGTTGCTGGAAGTCGACGATTTCTTTATCGGCAGTGCGGATGCGGATGCCCGAGCGTGGATTCGCAGTATCCTAGAGGACCGCTTCCGTTTCGGGAAGTATCGAGATTGTCATGCCGGCTCAGTGGACTTTGCAGGTAGGCGCGTTTCCTTCTTACCCGGCAAGGCCGTTATTGATCAAGAAAAATACATCCTGGAAGAAATGAGCCCCTTGACTCTGGCCCGGGGCCGCTTGTCCGTCAAGAATTCTCCTCTCGAGCCGTCCGAGTTCAAAGCTATGCGTTCCCTGGTCTATAAGTTCAATTGGGTCGGCCGAGAGTCACGGCCAGAAGCGGCCGGAGTGGCAAGTATTTTGGCCAGTCGTTTAAGAGCTCCGACAGTGTCGGACGTGTCCTGTGCCAACAAGTTGGTGAAGCACTTGAGGGCAACAGCCTCTCGAGGATTAACGATCTGGCAACTAGACCCCGAGCGCATGTCTTTCATCTCTTTTTTCCGATGCCGGCGGTGTCGGATCGGTAGAGTCGCTCCAGGACGACAACGGCCTTCCGGCCGACCCCACCCAGGGAGCCTGGATGGTGTTGGCTGCAGACAAGTCTGTTCTCGATAATCAGGTGGTGAGAGCGTCCGTGCTCGGTTGGCGTAGCAGTAAGCTACGGCGTAAGGTGCCTTCGACGTTGGCCGGGGGGACTCAAGCTCTCTCGGCTGCCGTGGCGGAAGTCGAGTATCTTCAAGTGTTGTATCGAGATGTTGTGTTCAGAGATGTTGATCTGACTGATTGCGCGCGGGCCTCAGGGCCCTTCACTACGGTCTTAAGACGCGATTGTAGTTTGGGTTCCAGGGAGCAACAGGTCCACGTAGTGGACGCCAAGTCAATATATGATACCTGCCAAAAGGAAGGAAATGCGTCGGCCCGCGATAGGCGTACTGCTCTAGACCTCGCCATCATCTGTGAGTCCTTGGAGCGAGCCAGGGGTAGAATACGGTGGATACCCCATGGCCGTATGCCCGTGGATGCCCTGACCAAGGACGACGTGACTAAGTGCAATGCCGCGCTGTTTGATCTGATGACCAATGGCAAGCTCAGTCTGGTGGACGAGGCTCAAGAGGTCGGCCGCCGGAAGGACATGCCCGAGCTCAAGGATCGCTCTCAGTCGGCCTCCCGAAGAATGCTGTCGGAGCCTGCCTGGATCGCATGGCTCGACTACCTGGACCAGAGGGCTCCTCCTGGCCTGGTTGGTGGTGGTAGTGTCCTCCCGTCCTCCTCCTCTCTCCCTCCGCCTTCATTATCCTCCGAATCCGCTTTCCAAGAATCTGCTCTCTAGTTCTGCCTCTCTATCTTTCTGCTGCTGCGTATGTTTAGCATTTGCAGGTCGCTTTTGACACTGCCAGGCAGTGGACACGGACTTGTGAATCGAGTTTCGGGACAGCTAAACAAACCTAGAGAAAGTTGGACCCATGTTCCAGGGGTCCATAATCTCACGTATAGGTTTAGCTTTTGGTGTTTCACCCTGGGGATTGATGGATCGAGATCCATCTTGTGTGTGTCCGTGCCACATGTGGCTCAAGGCAAAACATTATGTCCCCTCTCCTGCTGCCACAGGACGTCTTGGAGCGATCTTTGGGGGTGTGGCGCTCTTTGGGGTCGTCGTGGACCGTCTAGGGGCTCTCTGGGGTCATTTCGGAGCGCGCCGGAACGCTTGGAGCCCTCTGGGGCCGTCTTCGGGCTCTCGCGGGGTTCTCCCGGGTCGTCTGGAGGGTTGCCCAAGAGGCCCGGGGTGGGCCAAACTCGTTAGGGTGGATGTGCTTTTTCTGGCGGCTGCCAGCCCGCCCTCGTATCTCGCGACGGAGGCGAAGCCGTCGTTGGAGCAGCTCAGCGACGCCGTGGTCGGGCCTAGCTCGGAGAGTGACTGGATCATCTCTATCGTGGAGCTCCTAGCACTGGTGGCACTGGCGGCCTGCAGGGGACACCTGTGGTCAAGCGAGCTCGTCTTCTACGTCACGGACAACGCGAACGTGAAGTCTTGGCTGACGAAGCGCCGGCCTAAGAACGCCCCGGCGCGCCACCTGCTACGCGTGATCGCGCGGCTGGAGGCCGAGCGCGGCTTCGTGCTCACGTCGTTTCACGTACGCACCTATCACAACGAGGTGGCGGACTGGCTGACGAGGGAGGAGGTGAAGAAGGTGCACAGCGAGCTCGCGAAAGCCGGCTGGCAACGCCTGGGGCCGCCCGCTGCCTGGGGCTCGATCGCTGCGGATGCCCAGCATAGGCTCCTGCGGATCCCAAGCGAGACGGGGCCGCTGCCCGAGTCAGCGCTGCGGCACCGCGCGCTCCGGACGCCCGCTGCGCCCAGGGCCAGCATCCCACTGGCAGGCCAGATCGGCATCGAGCTGGGCGGTCTCCTCCAGAGATATCGGGACGCCTTTGTCAAGCTCGGGGGGCGTCAAGCCGACCCGGGGCACGCAGCCGCCTGGGTGCTGATGTCCCTAACGATGGACCCCAGAGGCTTCGAAGCGGAGGCACCCTTTGTCAGAGTGGGCCAGGACCGCCCCAACGTGGTCGTCGCAGACACGCTGGTGGGACTATCCACCCAGAGGCTCGAACGCTTTCGTAAACAGCTCGGCTCGCGCTGACCGCGTTCGACCTCTTATGCTCCGAGCATGGGGGCGCCGCGTCGAGGACGAGGGAGGTGCTGGTAGCCGGGCGCGACCCACTGCCGCACTGCCTGGCGGGCATTACTTTGCCGCCGGCACGCCGTGCGGCCCACGGGGTCAAGCACTCCCTGGATAAGGAAGGATCTGAGAGTGGGCCGGCTGGACAACCAAGGAGACATCCTCCTGGACCCCACGATCTACACCACGAGCAGTCCGCTGCTGCCGAAGACGGCGGCACACATCACGATCGAGAGTGTCAAGCACCTGCTGCACAGGCCAGACGACCCTGCCAGCCTGCTGGCGCCCCTCGGTGGCCAGGACAGGAGCTCACGGGACCTGGTGCGACACTGCTGTGCACCCCTGGCGGCACCCACGGGAAGGTCTGGGCCCTCACTCTGGAGGAGGTCTGGCGCATCCAGGGCGGCAGCGACGAGGTGTGGGGCGCGCGCGTGGCCGAGAGTACCTCCACCGAGACGCTGCTACGAGCGGCGGTGCGTGCCCTGCCGCCGGAGTCGTCTCGGACGGTGCTCGAGGCGGTCGCGCAGGTGCTGGACTCCGATGCTGCGAAGGTCGGGGTGTGCCACGACCCAGAGGAGCAGGCAGCCTGGGAGGCCACTCGGAGGTGGTTCGGGGCCTGGGCCATTGCCCCCGGCAGCCTGGCGGCCGAGCTCCTTTGACAAGGGAGAGAGGTTGTCGGAGGGGCGCTCTCGGAGGGCATCCACAAGAGCCTGCGCAAGAACCATGCGATCCGCTTCAAGCAGATCGACGAGGACACCATCCTCGGCCGTGCCGAGCCACCGGCGGCCAGAGAGCTCCAGCTCGACAAGAATGTGGCCTGGTTTCGCACCCCCGCGGGCGCGAGGTCAAGGCTGGCCCGCAAGGGGCGAGCGATCACGACGAACGAGCTGGTCCAGCCACTGGCCCTGGGACAAGCACGCGAAGGACTGCCGCCCACGCCCGCGCGCCCCGTGCTGGGTGGAGAACGCTACGGGGAGTGGCTTCGCGACCAGAGGACCGAGGTCATGCTCCAGAAGCTCAGCGAAGGTGCCCGGAATGGGTACGAAGGCGGGCGGCGCCAGTGGGCGGCCTACCGCTCGGCGCAGGGCAAAGAGCCATGGCTCCAGGGCCGGGGCAGGGCTGAGAGGTCGCAAGACGAGGGCCTTGATCGACTTCGAGATGTGTTGACGCGCGCCGAGGGGACGGTGAAGCACAAGCTATTTGCCATCATGCAGGTATGCGCGCCTGATCGTCGGGTACAGCGACCCGCTCCTGCACCGGGGAAGGCCGTGGGCGACTTTGGCTGGTCTGATGAGGCTCCACGGTCCCAGTCGTGCTCGCCTGGTTACGGACGAGTCCCGGTCGCTGGAGAGAGCGGTCCATGGCGAGGATGTGGAGGCGAGACCCGGCGGTGAGCGAGTCGGCTCATTTGCTCGCGCAGACGAATACGTCTTGCACATCAAGGGGTCGAAGACGGACCAGTACAACGTGGGAGCCGCGCGCAACCAGTACGCTGCCCAGTTGACGCTGCGCCCGATCACGGCGCTCGCGGCCATGCAGGCGCAGCGCCCGCAGCGCTTCGACCGCGGCGCGGAGGCGAGGCTGCCCCTGTTCGGGTGGGCCTCCGGCGCACCGGTGAAGCGTGAGGAGGTGCAGCACTTCCTCGCGCTGGCAGGCCTCGCGTCGGGCCTCGAGAGAGAGAGGAGATCGGTTCTCATTCGCTGAGAAGTGGCCACAGCGATGTGCCATGTCACGGACGACGTCGCCAAGGTCCAGCGATGCGGCCGATGGGCGTCGGACGTACTTGTTCCACGCCTATCTCTGGGAATCTCACGAACCGCAGCCGGGCGTGGCCCGGCGCATGGCCAACGACCGCTCGCAGCTGACGACCCCGGCAGCGAGGCTCCAGGAGGGGGCCGCCGGCGCCGGCGCCTGGCGAGCTGCCTCGGGGAGCCCATTGGCAGGGCAGCCGCGGCGGCAGTCACGCTGGGGCACGCGGCAGCGGCCGGTCTGGAGCTCTCGACGATGAAGAAGGACGAGGGGGCCATCGGCCTGCACCTGGGCGAGGGCAGGAGGGGCGTCTTCGTCGCGATCCCCCTGTGGACCGCGGCGAAGGTCATCTTCCTCCTGGTGACGGCGCTGGGCGCGGCCCCGGCGCTGGCTGGGCGCTGCTGGTGCAGCGCGCGGCCGGGCGGGCAGCCGGAGGGCCCGCGCGAGGCGCCGGGGTAGGCGGCCGTGAGCAAGCCGAAGCCGCCCAAGAAACCCAAGGCGGTCTACTGCGACGCCAGACTTCAGGGCCCGGTTCACATCAACGGCACGCGCTACCTCCGCAAGAACCAGGGGTTCAGCGCAGGGATGAGGTCGCGCGCGTCGCGGCTGACAAGCAGCATCGCGATTGACCGGCAGCGCCGCCGGCCGTGAGGCCTGGTGCGAGGAGGTGAAAGGGGGCCCAACCGCCGGCTTCGGCCTGGTGAGCCCAGCAGCGCCGCCGGCCACGGGCCTGGCGAGCAGTGAGGTGGAAGGAGAGTCCGCCGCGGCCTCGGCCTGACGAGCGGAGCCCGCGCCAGCGTCCCGCGCCGGGCGCGGCTTTTCAAGTGCTGCGGGCGGGGTGCACCCAGGGCAGCCGGTGCTGGGGCGGCGGCGGCGGCTACGCGCCTGAGGGCAGCTGGCGCCGCACCGGGGCCCGAGCACTCCACGACCCGCGCAAAGCGCCCGCGGGCGCCGGGCGCAGGTGGCAGACGCCGGCGACTCTGCTCGCACGGCGTCGGGCCGCTTATTTCCCGGTGGCGAGGCCCAGGTTTTCCTCGAGCCCGGACAGGGCCGTCGCGGGGGCGGCCGTGCATGTGGCTCCCAGGAGAGGAGGGGGGGCGGCAGAGCCCGCCACGCGTTGCGGAAGGATGGTGGACCGCCAGCCGGCGGCACGCGCGCGCAGCGCCAGAACGGCATCATCGTCTTCATTCTCTGATGCCGCCATCAGCCTTGCTGCTGCTGCCCCCTCACCCTGAACCCCACTTCGGGTTCAGGCTTTGGGTGGTGTGTGACTGCTAGCCGAGACAGCTTAGTTGTTTGTAGTAGGCGCTAGGCTTTCTCAGGTCCCAGGAATGCGGGGGTTCCTCTTGGTTTTCCCCTTGTTCCCTGCTCCTGCTTCTGCTTGCTCCCCTCCTCCTTCGCTCCCGCTCGAGCTTTCTGGGTCAAGGTGGCCCACCCTGGGATCCAAATGTGGTCCTCCCTGCCTTGCGTTTCGGCTTTGTACGTCGGCCCGACGTCTGTTCGGGCGGCGGCAGAGCCCGCTACGCGTGGCGGAAGGATGGTGGACCGCCAGCCGGCGGCACGCGCACGCAGCGCCAGAACGGCGTCATCATCTTCATCCTCTGATGCCGCCATCTGCCTTGCTGCTGCTGTTCCCTCACCCTGAACCCCACTTCGGGTTCAGGCTTTCGGTAGTGTGTGACTGCTAGCCGAGACAGCGAGGATGATGGTCATGCTGATAATGCTGATGAGGATGCTGACGCTGTTGTTAATGATGAGGATGATGCTGCTGATGATGATGATGCTGCTGGTGATTTTGATTATGGTCATGCTGTTTCTTTATGCGATGACGATGAGTATGAATCAGCCGATTATGATTATGATGAGTATGCTGATGATGAGGATGAGGGTGATGAGGAGGAGGGGAGTAGTTTGACGATTATGATGGTGATGCTGATGGTGATGAGGACGATTATGGTGCTGCTGATTGTGATGATAATGCTGACGACGCTGATGGTGGTGGTGCTGAGTATGGTTCTGGTGAAACCTTCTGATACTGGCGGTGCTGATGGTGATGCTGATGATGATGACCTGCTGCTGCCACTTCTGCTGGCGATGATGATGCTACTGCTGCTGATGGTGCTCCTCCTTCTGCCGCTGGCATCGATTATGCTGATGATGACGATTCTGATGCTGATGATGATGATGCTGATGCTGATGATGCTGCTGATGATGATACTGCTGATGATGATGACGATGCTGATGATGATGGTGATGATGATGAGTGATGAGGGTGATGCTGCTGCTGATGATGATGATGATGATGATGATGATGGTGGGGGTGGATATGATTCTGCTGCTATTGATGATGTTGATGATAAGGATGCTGAGTCTGATGATGCCGACGACGATGCTGCTGCTGGTGATGGTGATGGCGCTGATGCGGATGTTGATGCTGATGATGCGGCTGCCGATAAGGATGACGATGCCGATGCGGATGTTGCTGCTGATGATGCTGATGATGATGCCGCTGCTGTTGATGATGATGCTGTGGATGCTGCTGATGATGATGCTGATGCTGATGGTGGTGATGATGATGATGATGATGATGGTGATGCCTCCTCCTCCTCCCCTCCAACATTGCGCTGAAACTATGGTGCTGCTGATGGTGATGATAAGCATACTGATGATCATGATGATGACGATGTTGATGTTGATGCTAATGCTGATGCTGATGATGCCGATGATACTGATTATGCTGATAATGATGATGATGATGATGATGGTCATGGTGATGCTGATGTTGAGGATGAGGATGATGATGATGAGAAGGTGGATGGGGATGTGGAGTTGGAGGAGGAATAGGAGGAGCAGCATGGTGAGTATGATGGTGATGCTGCTGATGATGATGACGATCCTGCTGACGTTGATGATAAAGTTCATGATGATACTGATGATGATGATGATGATGGTGATGACGATGATGACGATGACGACGATGATGATGATGACGATGACGACGATGATGCTGATGATGATGATGATGCTGATGCCGATGCTGGTGCTGCTAGTGATGATGGTAATGCTGATGATGAGGAAGATACTGCTGATGATGATGCTGATGATGACGACGACGATGATGATGATGATGACGATGCTGATGATGACGATGATGATGATGCTGATGATGATCATGATGATGATGCGGATGATGATGATGCTGATGATGATGATGATGATGCTGATGATGATGATGCTGATGATGATGATGATGATGATGATGATGATGATGATGATGATGCTGACGATGCTGATGATGATGATGATGCTGATGATGATGATGATGCTGATGATGATGATGATGCTGATGATGATGATGATGATGATGATGATGATGATGATGGTGGTGGTGGTGATGATGATGGTGGTGGTGGTGATGATGATGATGATGATGATGATGATGCTGCTGCTGCTGCTGCTGCTGATGATGATGATGATGATGATGATGATGATGATGATGATGATGATGATGATGATGATGATCAGGAGGAGGAGGAGGAGGAGGAGGAGGTTGAGGAGGAACAGGACGAGGAGGAGGAGGTGGGGAGGAGGAGGACGAGGACGAGGAGGAGGAGGAGGAGGAGGAGGAGGAGGAGGAGGAGGAGGAGGGGGAGGAGGGGGAGGAGGAGGAGGAGGAGGGGAGGAGGAGGAGGAGGGAGGAGGAGGAGGAGGAGAGAGGAGGAGGAGAGTGAGGAGGAGGAGGAGGAGGAGGAGGAGGAGGAGGAGGAGGAGGAGGAGGGGAAGAAGGAGGAGGAGGAGGAGGAGGAGGAGGAGGAGGAGGAGGAGGAGCCGCGTGGCCAGTCCTTCCTTCCCCGCGGGCGGCGCGAGGACGTGGGGTCGGAGCAGGAAATGGCAGGCCGCGGCCCGCGGATCCCGCTCCCGTTCCCGCGGCAGGACCAGAAGGAGGAGGCGGAGGAGAAGAAGGAGGAGGAGGAGGAGACGGAGGCGGAGGCGGAGGAGGAGGCGGAGGCGGAGGAGGAGGAGGAGGAGGAGGAGGAGGAGGAGGAGAGGAGGAGGAGGAGGAGAGACGGAGGCGGAGTCGGAGGCGGAGCGGAGGCGGAGGAGGAGGTGGGGGAGGAGCGGAAAAGGAGGAGAAGGCGGCGGAGGAGGAGGAGGAGGAGGAGGAGGAGGAGGGGGAGGAGGAGGAGGAGGAGTAAAGAGGGGGAGGAGGAGGAGTAAAGAGGGGGAGGAGGGGCAGGAGGGGTGGTTTGAGGGGAGGAGGAGGAGGAGGAGGAGGAGGAGGAGGAGGAGGAGGAAGAAGAGGAGGGCTGTCGTTCGGCGATGGGTTCCCTATTGCTCAGGATTATGGAAAACCCATAGCTGGACGACTGTTCGGTGCCCTGGGAGGCTCGAATACCTGTTGTAGTTCGAATTATGGGAAACCTGAAATCTTTACGAACAAACGCACCCTATGAGTCCATTCCGGCTTTCCCTTTATTCCGACTTGTGGGAAACCTGGAACCACCACGAAACATCGTTTTTTCGTGGTCATTCCAGGTTTGCCATAATTCGAGTTCGAGGTGCCCCATATTTTGAATTATGGGACATCTAAAGTCACTACGAAAAACCGCACTCTGTGAGCCGATTCCAGGTTGCCCATATTTCCGAACTTTGTGAATCCTGGAATCACCAGGAAGATCTTTTCTTTTTCGTGGTGAATCCGGTTTTCCCATAATTCAGGCCCCTCATTTGGGGAAGCGGGGGGCGGCAGGTTCCCACAATGTGGAAGGTGCACCGTAATTCGAAATCGGAATTTCGGGAAACAATGGGGGAGAGGCCGCTGGGTGGTTCGACTTTCGGGCAACTTGGAATCACCACCAAATTTTTGTGATAGTTCCCGGATTCCCATACTTCGAATTCGAGGCTTCCCATATTTCGACTTACGTGAGACCTGACACCACTACGACAAAGGTGTGTTCGAGCAGGTTCCAGGTTTCCCATACTTCCGAGTTATGGGGAACCTTGAACCACAACGAAAAACAATACTTGTCCGTGGTGGTTCCGGGTTTCCCATGCATCGAACCCCTCTTTGGGAAGCGGCGGGCGGCAATTTCCCGCAGTGCGGAAGATTCCCCGTAATTCGAAGTCAGAATTTCGGGAAAGTGAGGAGGGAGGCTGCTGGGAGCTTCGTCGAATTACGGGAAAGTTGGAACTGCAACGAAAGAGGGTTTTTCGTGGAGATTCCAGGTTCCCCATAAGTCGAATTTGAGGCTTCTCATATTTCGAATATTCGAGGTTTCTCATATTTCGAATTCTAGGAAACCTGGAATCAACACGAACACAATGAATTTGGAGCAGATTCTGGGATTCCCATAATTCAGAATTATGGGAAACCTGGAATCACCATGAACCCTCCCTCTTTCGTGGTGGTTCTGGGCTTCCCATAATTCAAACCCCTCATTTTGGGTAAACGGGGGGTTGCAGTTTCCTGCAGTGCGGGAGGTGGCCCGTAATTCGAAATCGGAATTTCGGGGAACCAGGGGGGGGAGGCCGCTGGGGGTTCGAATTACGGGAAACCTAGAATAACCTTGAAAGCAAATGGTTCTGCGTGGCGATTCCCGTTTTCCCATAATTCGACTTCGATGTTTCCCATAACTCGAAGTATGGGAAACTGTTGAATCATTACGAATAAAGGGGCGTTTTGAGCGGATACCAGGTTTCCACAAGTGAGAATTTTTGGGGAACCTGGACTCACCACGAAAAACCACCCATTTGTGTTGCGAATCTGGGTTTCTCATGATTCGAGCCCCTCGGTTATCGGTTGATTCAGAGGCGATTTCGGGTTATTCAGAATTTGGGGGAACCTAGAATCGCAACGAGAAACAATCTTTTTCCGTTGTGAAAGTTGGGATCACCACGAAAACATATGCCAGCTTTCCCATAATTCGGAATTACGGGAAACCTGGAATCACCAACTACGGGAAACTTGGAATCACCACAAAAACATAGTTTTTTGATGGTGATTCCAGCTTTCCCATAATTCGGAATTGCTGGAAACTTGGAATCACCATAGAAGCATATTTGTTTGTGGTGATTCCAGGTTTCACATAGGTCGGAATTGCAGGGAACTTGGAATCATCACAAACAGCATTCTTCAGGTTCCCCATAATTCGGAGTTGCGGGAAACCTGGAATCATACCCCCCCCCTCTTTGTGGTGATTTCAAGTTTCCCATCATGCGGAATTTCGGGAAACTCACCACAGAAGCTTGGCCGTTTTGGGCCACCTAGTAGGGGTTATAACAGAATTTCCGTGCCACCGCCCGGCCGATGCCTTTGAATGGGGTTTCGTATCTGCGGAGTGCTTCCTCATAGTGTCCTCATAAGATCGTTACACTTTTAGTTGAGCGTTCCTGCGGCCCCCGATTTGGAGGCTGCCGCCCGCCGTATTCAGCGCGAGCATGCGCAGGTTATCGGCCACGCTGCGGGGACAGACACCTGCTTTTTTGGGGCCGAGCTTCGTGACGCAAATTTGGTTGGCTCTGAGCCGAGGGCGGATGCATAGCAGGTTATGCTTGGTGGAGTCCTCTTCCCATCAGTTGGGAAGCCGGCAGTTTTCATCGCTCTCGGGGGGGGGGGAAAGTTTCCCATGATTCGGAATTGCGGGACACTTGGAATCACCATAACAACTTTTTTTTTTTGGGTGTGATCTCAGGGTTCCCATAATTCGGAATTGCGGGTTTTCTAAAATATTTTCATTTTGTAAGTGGTGATTCCAGGCTCCCCACGATCCGGAATTCGAATTTCGGGAAGTGTGGTGAGCACGCCGCGGGTCCTCGTTTTCCCATAGTTGGCCTTCCCCGAATTGTTGAGTGATGGGAAACCTATAGCTGGACGGCAGCCAGGAGGTGGAGGAGGAGGAGGAGAAGGAGGAGGAGGAGGAGGAAGAGAAGGAGGAGGAGGCGAATGAGGAGGAGGCGGATGAGGAGGAGGAGGAGGAGGAGGAGAAGGAGGAGGAGGCGGAGGAGGAGGAGGAGGAGGAGGAGGAGGAGGCGGAGGAGGAGGAGGAGGAGGAGGAGGAGGAGGAGGCGGAGGAGGAGGAGGAGGAGGAGGGGGAGGAGGAGGAAGAAGAAGAAGAGGAGGGGGCAGGCTCAGGGTTGGGGGCATCGGCCCCCGATCACCCACCCGTCGTCGGTCGGGGCCCGACGGCCTGCCGCTTCCAGCTCGAGGCTTCCCCTCCCGAGCCCGTCTCCTCGGTCTTCGGGTCCCCGCCCGGCTCTCCGGCGGGCGCCCCGTGAGGAGCCGGGCATCCTTGGAGCGCTCGTGGCGAGGCGCAGCCGCTGGAAGGCGCCCCGAGGCTGGACCACCGCGGAGAGCCAGCGACAGCGTCCGAGGAGTGACCTCGAACCTCGCGGCAGCTCCGGAGGGAACAGCAGCACGCAGACACGAACAGTCGTCGATGCACAGCTCCGGGAAGTATGGAAGGAATAGGGGGAACCCCGAGAGTTGTGTCTCTTTTGTTTGTGTGTCCCTGGGCCCCTTGGGGAGTGCCGCTCCGCGCACCCCGCCCCGCCGTTGCGCGGCAGGCCGCGTCGGCGAGCTGAACGCGGTGGCCAGCGACCTCCGCGCGGCCGGCGTGGGGCGGAGCGAGGCCCGGCGGGGCTGCCCCGTGGAGCGTGGGGCTCTGCGAGGTCCACGGGGAGGAGGAAGATGAGGAGGAGGAGGAGGAGGAGGAGGAGGAGGAAGAGTCTAGCGCATGGCTGGTGTTCGCCTTCGCTTGCCAGGTCGTCGCCCGCTCGTTTGGCGTCATGGGGTGGATCGCAATGCGGGGTGCGCGGATACGCGGTCCGCTGGTGGAGGAGGAGGTGGTGGTGAGTGTATTGGTGTTGATGAAAGGATGCGTTGATTGTTTGGTGGATTTGTTGCTTGATGGTTGTTTGATGACTTGGCCGATGGATGGATAGATGGGTGGGTGAATGGATAGATGACGATGGGCGGTGGTGGTGATTGATGATGCTGATTAGGATGCTGATGATGTTGCTGATGATGATGATGTTCTGATGATGATGATGATGCTGATGATGGTGATGGTGCTGGTGATGGTGATGGTGGTGATGATGATGGTGATGATGGCGACGACAGTGGTGGTGGTGGTGATCATGTGTGAAGACCGCGCATCTCCCCGCTCTATCCATCTACCCTGCTGTTCTATCGGTTCAGGTATTGGACATCTTGAGCGCCCTCATTCCGACGGGCGCATGGACAAACGAGTCTCATCGTTTCGCCCAGTCGTCCTCTACCTACGGACCATACGGTAGGTTTGAACTTCCGTTCGCAGGTTATCAGCCTTTTCTGTTTTGCTCTTCATTGCGAAACCCCGCGCCGACTTCGAGTCTTGCGCATGGCGCTGGAGACTACGGGGGCCAGCGCCTCTATGCGTGGTGGCCCTTCGACGGTGCATGGGCTTCACGACGACACGGAGTGGGTAGCGAGACAGGATGTGGTACCGCAATTCCTTCTACTTGAAGCCGCGCTTCGGCGTGCACGGCAGGCATACATGGACACTTTCCATTTTCCGTGTCGGCGCAATCGTACATTCGAGGGTTTGGACCCAGCTTCCAGTCGACTGTTCATTCACCTGGAGCCAACCTTAGTTCAAGTCTATCGTCGGTGGAAGCACCTGCGCGTTCCTTCTCCAATCTCTTCGCCGATGGGAACACCCGCGGCGGCGCGAACGAAACGTCTTTTCCGAGAGCTTCCGCGCGAAACCGCCGCTGCGACACCAGAGGTCCTGCGAGCCCCGCATCGGCTCCCGTGTCTGAGCACGTGCGAACCATCGAGGACCGTCTTGGAACGACTTCGCAGTGAAGAGCACCCGATCGGTATCATCTTCAGTCTGAACATGGGAGCACCACCCTCAGCCCCTCACAGAGGCGCTCACGGCATAATTCCCTGCAGCGCGATACGACGCCACATGCGTCGCCCTCCGCCGATGAGTTGGCAGAGTTCAGAGACCAGGTTGAAACGTACACGACCCAACAGTTGCCGGGTCTTGCTGCCACAGTCGCCGATCACGCGACACAGACCACAAACCAAACTTGAGGCAAGATATCCAGAATACTCCTGCCCTTGTCGGCGTTCCGATCGCTGAGGATCGATCGGTCTTCAATGAAGTCCAATAACAAATTGACCGTGTAGAGTCACGCCAGGGTGCAGACTCCACTGCCATCCAGACGCCCCGCGACTACCTCTTCGCCATGGGGGCGCAGCTCGTAGGCGGCAGGGATGCAGGCACTGCCGCTGTCAGGGCCCTGCACGACGAGATCGAGGTGCATGGGACTACGGATCAACAGCTCCGTGAGGAACCCATTGCGCTTCGCGATCACGTTGTCGTGGCCGCTGCCAACCTCCATAGTACCGCCACCACGTCCTAGTTGCACGGTAAGTTGTGCACTGCCGAGATGACTATTGCTCGGCGTCTTGATGCACCAGAGGGACGTGTGCCAGCGCTTGAGAACCGTGTCTCCGCGGTCGAGCAGCAGTTACCTGGCGTGCAGGCTTCGCTGGCAGAGTTGCACGTTGTACGGGCCCAGACTGCGCAGCTGGGCCCCCCGACTTCGGTTTGCGATTTTGCCCCCCGCGCCGCCGAGATGGCCGAGGTCAGGAATGCGGCGGGCCACATGCAGCTACGACTCGCACCAGAGCTCCCGCGAAAGAGACGCTGAAAAGGCACGGGCCGGGGCATTACTCACCCGTTTGGAACTAGAGCGCGAAGCGCACAACCGACGGTTCCAGGACTTAGAGCATCGGTTGGGCCGGTCCTCCCAGCGAGCTTATGACAGCAACGACGGGGTACTTGGTCTACGACAGAGTGGTCGAGCAGTTGCAGTGCGATCTCACGACCACCGAAGCCACCATGACGGCTCACGTTAGCGACGCCGAGATCCATTTCTCTTCGCAACCTGCAGAAACCACCGCCGAGAGTGGCCCAACCCTCGCCGGTGGACGCATCCGCGCAGGACAACCGCGACGCACGTTACCAGGAGCAGTTTCTACAGCAGCCTCAACGCAGACACGTCGCGTATCTCTGGTGCGTGCACCGCCGCCGACGCCGCCAATGTCGTCGCATAATATTTTCGCAGTGTTCTCTTGGTGGTACTACCCCGATGAAGGATTCAGATATTGTTCGCACGCCTCAACTGCTACGCATTACTCAGTTACAGGAGTGGCAACGTGTGGCCAGGCAAAACTTCGGCAGTGCGCCGGGACGTCCTGCTGAGGCTTGCGTCTTTCTCTGTGTTGCCGAACGCCCCGATGCCGCATTCGAGGGCCTTCAAGACAGTGGCGACTTCGAGGGCGTCGATTGCAAGCTCGCCGCTGGACTTCTGGCTGATCTCACTGTTGAACTCCGTTATCGCACGAGAAACCTAAAAGTTCAGGAGCGCAAAAGCCAGCCGCGTGCTAGGAGGTCACGGAAATCGACGACGCCACGCGCGACTTTGAACGTTTCAACTCATCCGCATCCGAGACGGCGACATCCAACGGTTCGTCGCGGACTGGGACAATTTATTCTTGGAGTGCCGTGATCCACCGGGCACGAAGATGCTCGAGTCATTGCTCCACGCTCAAATCCGCCGATGCCCATGGATGAAGCAATACATTCACGATTGCAACAAGGTGAAGATGGGCGACTCCACTCGCACATGCGATTGGCTACGAGAACTTGTTCTGGCCAACGTCGAGACGCGCCGGCTCGAACGCAACCGGCGCAACCGCAGGGGCGAGACGACTCGTAGCGAACTGGCGGCGTGCGCAGCGTTCAAGGCAGGCCGTTGCAAAAATGGCGAACGGCGCAAACTGCAACGCGCTGGCCCCGGCAACCGTTCCGCGCCAAGACCTCCCAGACGCGCGTCGCAGGCCGGTAGGGGCGCTGGCGGGGGGCGACCCTCCACGGGGCGAGGCGCGCAACGGCCGGCCAATGACGGAGGTGCCAATAACTCTTGTTTCTCCTTCGCATCACGCGGCGCCTGCCCGCGGCGGGGCCGGCGCAGATGGCCTCGCGTTGCCATTTCTTTGTTGGCCCAGGCAAGCGCTGCAAGCCGGCCAGCAGCTGCCGCTGCGCCCATATTGCGTCTGGCGCCGAGACCCCCGGGAGAAGCCCTAGCCGCGCCCGCAGTCAGGACAGCCGCAACCAGGCGCCCCCCCCCCGGGCGCGCGGGGGGCAAGCGATGCTCTCCGCGCGGGGGGTGCCCCAGGGCTCGCGGAGTCCGGGGGTCCGCAGGTGGCCCCGCAACAGCGCCGCTCTTCTTCGCGGGGCGGCGACCGCGGACGCAGTCGAGGACGCTCGCCCAGCAGCGGCTGCAGCGGCGGACGGCCACCCTCGATGCGCTACAGGAACCGCTTGCCTGCAGCAACGCAATGCGGCCGTCGACGAGACCGAACATGCGTGATTCGTGGAAAGACTTCGGTGGCCGCATATGCGCGCGCCACCGCGCAACCGCGACGCCGCCCACGTTTCGACCTCGACAACGCCGACGTCATCACCTACCCAGTGCCCGAACGGCAACGGGCCACATGACGCGCCGACGCCAAAGAGGGTGACCCCATTGTTGCGCTAGACCCGCTGCCGGACTGGCGACTGCAGGACGGCGCCGAAGCGCTCCGAGCCTGCCAGTTCGAGGCGCAGAAGTGGCGCGATGACCTTGCCACCCCAACCAGACATGCCACGGCGCCAGCCCTTGCGTCCTGCGACGGCCCGGCGTCGGCGGCAGCGCCCGCGACCGAGTCTTCCGCGCCGACGCGGTCAACATCAGCGTTGTCGCGGACGTGGATCTTGGACAGTCGCACTGTTCACCGCTCCAGGACAATGCCGACCTCGCGCGACGCCAAACCGCCCGCGCGCACATGGGGCGCGAACGTGCGTTGGAAACGGCCGAGGGCGACAGGATCGTCAATGAGCGCATCCAACTGCAGCCCCCGCGCGCTAGGCGATCCAGCTCCGCCCTCGCGATGGGCGACGGTCTGTGGGGCGGCGGGTGCAGGGCGACAGCGCGCGACGACTGCGGGGTCCACAACTGGGCCATTCATTGCAGGACCCACAGGGCCAATGCTATTAGGATGCTGTGCGCAACCGCATCCCAGCGCTCGACTTCAACGACCTCGAACGGGCGCCGCCGCCCCAGTTGTTCGCCGCATCCCAAGCGCCAGGGCGCCCGCGACGCGCGAGGCAAGGTTGACATGCTGATCAGTGCCCATGCATGTGTTGGCGCTGCACAGGCGCGGGGAACTCTCCGCCTCCAGAACCGGCATGCGCTCGACCAAAGCTTCATCAGGATCATTGTCCACGCCGACGAGTTCGGGTTTCATGTCGCGGAGCTGTTTACTGGATGCGTTAAGAGTCAAGAATCACTGGAGTTCTCGTGCATTTCCCCCGCCAGAGCCCCAAAGACCGAGAAGGCAACGGAGGCCGTTGAGACTGCCGGGCCTGTCGCTGCTGTTGCTTGCCCTCGTTCTCCTCTCTCGGTTCCTCCATCCGTTTGCGTGCGTGTGTTGTCAAAGATCTCTCTCGCCGTGGCTCGTGGGGCTCTTATCATCCGGGATTCATTGCAGTGCGAAAGTTGTGAGGCGATTCGATTGTGGCCGATGTGTCGC